GTCCTCCATCAGTGGTCACAGGACGCTGTCCACAGGATGCTGTTGGCTGGATATTTTTGGTTGATGGACTATTCTTAGTCCAGCAGTGACACTGAGGTGTTTAAAAACTCCAGCAGCACTGCTGTGTCTGATCCACTCAGACCAGAACAACACACACTAACACACCACCACCACATCAGTGATCCGCCACCCAAATAGTACCTGCTCTGTGAGGGTCCATGGGGGTCCTGATCACTGAAGAACAGGGTAAAAGGGGGCTAACAAAGTATGCAGAGAAACAGATGGACTAACATCTGTAATTGTAGAACTACAAAGTGCACCTATACAGTAAGTGGAGCTGATAAAATGGACAATGTGTGTAGAAACAAGGAGGTGGTCATAATGTTATGCCTGATCGGTTCATTGCATTTACAATGAACAAGCGTGCTTCAGTACCAAAAACCAGTCAGGTGTTGCTTTGAATTAGAAAAATCTTTAAGCAGTTTGAAGTTTCTCCACAAGGGGGAGCAATTATCACACAAGTCACTTTTGTATCATTTAAAGAGAAAAAACAGCCATGAACCCACACCAGCAGGAGTCACAACTTTCAAAACGAGAGGAAAAATAGTTTGTAATCAAAACATGTTGTTACCCATTAATATTATTTAAAATGTGATTTCGTTAAAATTTTTCATTGTCAGTCAATGCTAAGACAAAGTCAGAAACTAGGTCTAAGCTATAGCAAACTGTGTGTGTTTATCAAGAAAATGTTGTGCTAATTATTTTTAGATATAGTTTGGCCTAGTGAAATGTAGTTGTTGTGTAATTAGTGGAGGATATTTGTGAATGTGTGAAAATTAAACTGGTCTGGTGGTTTGTTAAAGAGGAAAAACACAAAAAAAAAATATCCAAGGCAAGTGATCACAGGGACCACAGGCTCTGTACTGTTAGTTGCCAAAATGTGACATTTTGTAGCCAGGGGCACCAGGCAATAGGCAATATTGTCCCATGTACTGTAGCATCTGCAGCTTAAAAACCTTCTTCTTACTGATGCTTTTGGGCTTTGTCATTTTAAAACTATTGCTAAATGAAAAGGTGATGTCGGAAACCGGAGATGGAAGGTAAAACATTATGGTATGTCAAGTGGGCGTGAGATTCCTGCCCTGATAGGAATTGAAACGTCTGTCCTACATTCTTGTCTTTTACGTCAGCTCCAGTTCCTGCTAAATATTTAACCATCTGCAAAACGTGATCTGGACATTCTGAATAATGGACCTTTCAATACTATCATGGGTCATCAAATACCAAACCCAGCTCTTTTTTCAAATGTACATACATTAGGCCCCAAAAAGTATTTGGACACTTCAACCATGTAACCAATGGTAAACTTTAGTGAAGTTCTTTGGGTTTCTTCATAAAATGTTTAAATGATATTTCAGAGAGAAACAATTTTAGCACAGCATCAAACTGATGGTAGCCTGTTAATCTTACTGTGATGTCACTGAGCTTGTATTCATTGATGAATGCAGAAGTGTGCAAAGGCATTGTGTATACAAATCTGCAGAAGTCTGTGAAGAAACCGCTCAAACAATAATGATCTGAAACTCACCTGCTGCCTTTTCGCAATAAGAAACTGTCTTGCAAGTGTCTGTTTAACATAAATGCCACTTTGTTTGATATTGCATTTCATAACACAATGAACTTAATACATTTTTAAGTATGGCATAAATGTCCGAATACTTTTGGGGGGTGAATGTTGGAACAAAACCTTGTTTCCCCAAAATGATAATTTTATGTTGATGCAAGTTAACTGGGAATGGCAGATAAATTTATAAAGCATCCATGAAGCACACAGTTTTGTTCATCTTCGTTTTGACTGATTTAGCACATCCTTTAGGATTTAAAATCATTCAGTGAGCACTGCTTTCTGTCTTAACTGTGCTTTTTGTTTCTCTTTCAGAAAATGGCTGAGCTGAATAAGTTTACCTTTGACCATAAAGAGGAGGCTGGATCAGATGGGGAGATGGACTCAACCTCTGACCCTTTGGTTGACAGCTCAGCCTCACCTGAGTTGAGTGTGGTGCAAGTGAAGGTGTTGGATGCTGAAGGCAATCTGAAGGTTGTGTACCCATCCAAAACTGACCTGACCTCTGACGTTAGCCATCTGACCATCGTCCGGTAACCAAATTCAACAAGAAAACTGCATCAAAATAGCGGATATTTATCCCAACGCCAGTAAATATACTCTGTTTAAACAGCAAGTAAATTTGTCACTTGGCTTTCTTTAACCTTGGTCTGTCCTTCTCTCTGCATCATAATTATGTATTTGCAGCAGTTTCTGCACAGGGTTGATGTACAGGGTTTAACACTGTCATTAAACTATGATTGATTTTTATGAAATAAAAAAAAATTGCTCTTTCACCTTTAGCTAATTTGCAGTTCTAAGTGGTTCATAGCTTGAATGCAGTCATGTTGTTTACAAACAGAATCTTCATAGAGCACAGATGTACATTAATGCATTTTGTCCAGCACTTATTGTCCAAGAAAAATAAATAACTTTAAATACAAATGTTTTATTTCTTTTCCTCTTCACTGTCAGTCTTAATTTTATAAGAATGCATTGAGAAACTTTCCACGTTTCACCAAGGTCAAAATTCTTGTGTCATATACCTAGACTCAAAGATCAAGACAGTCTTGTGTTACAAGTGAACGACTGTAGATACTGGAACTCAAATACATGACATAATCCCTCTTAACGATCACATTTCATAGGTTTCATAAAGCTTTTTAAAGAATTCTAGAGATTCTATCTTTGAATGCAACAATTTTCAAAAAGGAACTGATCAAAAGATCAAAACGTCCCTTTTAAATTGGCCATACTGGCTGAACAATTGAACTTTGTTTTGTCTCCTGGAGGTAGATCACTGACCGGCATGGGTTTGTTTGGGGATCTGTGGGTTGTTGTGAAAGCAGCGGGTTTGGTTACAGATCGGATGACCGGCGGCCTGAGGGAATGTGAAGCCGAGGAGTCTCAGAGACTGAGCCCTACTGTCCCGAGATATAAAAGATGAGCAAAGTCGCTCCAGCCAGCACCTCCCTGAATGCGCTCAGCATGCCACCACACACTTGCATCTCTACAATAATATAAGCCAACTATGAGAACCATTCAGCTGGCCAATCAGAACAAGGAAACTTTAGACAAAAAGACAAGATGTTGGAGTAGACTTGAGGAATATGCGAAAGTCCAGGACGTTCATTCTAAGCAGCTTGACAGCCCAAAGGCTGCTGGCTCCCGTGGGCCCTCAACATCAACTGCGTTGAATGGATCTCATCAACTATTGGGAATACGAACCAATAATCCAGATTTCATCCTCAGACCTCGGCAGGCGGTGTTGCAGACCAGTTCGTTGGATAAAGGTAAAGGAAGCAATGGCAGGACATTGGTCAAGAGCAACTCGCTGCCTCCAATATATGGCTCAAAAGTAACCTCCATTCATGGCGGGAAGACTTGGGTGCCAAGTCGGCTTAGGGAACGCGAGATGCCGCAAATGGGTAAGAAAGCCAATATCTCAACTGTTAGTTTAAGGAGGGACAGAGCATTGATATGGAGACAAAAGGAGGGTGGTCAGTTTGCTAGCACAGTGGGCCTGATCTGTAGCAGCTTGGCTACATTCACTGTGACGGAACACTCTCCGAATCTAGAGCTTGGGCTCGAAATGCTCAGCAGGTCAGCCCTTGACCAGTCTAGTAAGATTTTGGATTTAAAGGAGAATAGCCCAATCACCAAGGACAGTGGAGTCATAACAGAAGGAATTAAAGACTCTGGTAGCGTGCGTGAGCCCAAACAGCATACACAGACACTCTCAGACTCCGCCATCGAGACGGAGACACAGAGCTCGCATAGGAAAAGAGGGATGGGGCAGGAAGGAAGAGTTGGAGTGCTAGATGATCAAGAAGAGGAATATTACACCAATCAAAGGATTATACAGTGGATCATGGGAGTAAATGCAAGTCTCTTCTCAACATCAAAAGATGAGCTGAATACACCACTGCTCAAAGAAGAAGATGTGGACACTATTAAGATTGTTTACGGTCAAGACTGAGGTGTACTTGAATGTTGTTGCAAATAAACCTCTACATGTGCAGTAGTAAAGACAGATTATGCCTATTTACATTATAAAAAACTGTAATGATTTTTGTTTAAAATGTATTATTCTTAATCAGCAATGAGGACTTGAGTTGCACGTTGACCAACTCGCAATTCTGACTCTGCCTAGCCCTTAAATGACTTTAGACTTGGACTTGAGACTTTTGAGTCGTGAAATTTCAGCTTGAGAAAAAAAATGCAAATAAAACTGAGTTTGGACCTCAAATTGGTAAACTGATAAAAACCTTGCTACAGTCAGTGGGCAGCGGTGTCACCTTCAATACATGCAGCTTTGAATAGCAAGTCTTTCTTTATAGAAAAACTTTGTCTGATGGACTGAACTTAGCGCTACATGCAGTAAATGCAGCGTTCAAAAGAAAGAAAAGAGCCCTTGAAACAGTTGGCTAGCAAGTTGTTTGAATTGCAAGTAATGTTCTGTGAGCTAGCGCAATAGCTGTTATAGCTAAAGCTAACAGCTTATTTAACTGAAGTTTTAGTACATTACAGAACACATTCCTTTAAAACTTCAGTTAGATTGTGCTAGCTAGCTAGCATACATGCTATATAAACTACAGACTAACCAACCGTCTCAACTTGTTTTTCCTTTTACTTTAAACACTGCATTTACTGCGGGTGTCTTTTCAGTTCCGTCCTTCAGACTGGAGGTTATTTTATAATGAAAGTCATGTTATTTGAAATAGTGTTGAAACTGACAGGTTTGTAAAAGGGTTTACTTTTGTATTAGCCTGAAGCTAATGTGACTAAACTCGAGACTCGGCTCGGACTCACATTAAACAACTTATGAAGATCTCTGTTCTTCAATTCTGTGTATGGTTCTATGTAAGGCAAATTAAAATAACTCAACATCATGACGTCAAATGGGACTTTTTAAAAGTGCATGTATTTTATAATGGAAGATCATGCAAAATTACATTGTTATACCACATTACTTGAAACTTTTTTCTGCAATAGAATACATTAAGTCCATATACAGAGAAACCAGGTCATAAACCATGTTTACCTTCTGATAATACTATAAATTGTGGAACAAGAGAAATGTGCTTAATTCCAGCTTGAAGATTGGGTGTGTAAATATATAAAAAGCTCACAGTTTATTCAGTCATTCACCATATTGTATGGTGGACGCAGCGATTTAAATGGCCTTTTGGGTGTCAGCATTTGTGGACGTAGTATCCTGTGATGTATCCGACGATGTACATGGCAGCCATTACAGCCAGCGAGCCTGCCACTCTTACAGCAATACCCAGCTGCCCTGTGCACACCTTGTTATAGATCCTGTACCATAAAACAAAACACCATCAGAAACACACGAGATGGGGTCACACCTAGAGTACACTGCAAGAATTCAAATGAGTTTTTTCTGTTTGAGAATGTACAGCTGTACAAATGTCATATGGAAAAAGCATTCATTCAAACTGTTTTTAATTGTAACATTCGGTCACGAAGACAGTCATGTAAAGTAATATACAACAAGCAATCTTGTTTTATATATTTATAGAAAGCCCTTGTTGGTATACAAAAAATGGCAATGTAAGTACTGTAGCCTATGAGTTTTTATTAGCTGTGATGTCACTGATGGTCAACATTGGGCCTATAGTTATGACCAGGCCAATAATGTGACTTGCAGAAATCAAAAAGAAAACCTAACCAAGCAAGAAGGTGAGTGAGGTTTTGGGAGATGAGTTTTCAAATATTCATAAGGTTCAGATATTTTAAATACATAAATGAGGTTAAAAACATCTAGATATCTATATTTAAATTACAGTGAACACCCTGTGACCTCTGGACTTATAAATTTGAGGGAAAGGTTAAAACATAAGTAGAGATGCAACAATGGAAATAGGGATTTTAAAGAAAATTGAATTCTATCAATCAATCAGTGACCCAGCAGTTTTACCTCAGGCAAAATGTGTTTTAGATCCCAGCAGGTTATTACAGTATTATTTGACAAAGAATATGAAAGTGGACATGATATGTGCCCCTGCTGTCACTGCTGAAAATCTCAAAGAATGCAAGATCCCACCTAACAAAATAACATCCTTAGAACATTCTCAGATTGGCTTGTAAGGACGTTATTTTATGGGGTCTTACAGATGATTGCCCAACCTCTTGTCTGGCCAAAGTGTAATATTTGTGGTGGGCTGAGGGCCAAAAGGACAAAACAGTACACGAATAAAGAAGGTACATAAAGTTTACATTTTTTTAAACATTACACAATACTTTGTCACTGAAATACTGAGCTGAATCTTATAAAGTGGTATGCAAAAGTTTAAACACCTTTAATCAAATGACGTTATGTTGATTTGCTGAGTGAAAATGAGTTAACGTCCTCCACAGAGAACAAATTTGAATATGGCATTTTTCTGGAAATTTTATTGTCCAGTTTTTATTTACTAGTATTGAAAAAAAAAATAAACATAAAATTTAATGTGCCATAAGTTTTGCACGGCCACATTTTATGATTTTTTTTTTTTTTTCCCCTCAATAGGTAACGTTCAGCAAATTAACAGTAATTGTGCATTAAAATGTGAAGTGTGTTCTCTGTAGAACAGGGGTGCCCAGTCCTGGTCCTGGAGATCTAACACCCTGGAGAGTTCAGGCCTTCATTACCTGGATCAGATTTCTTGGATTAGGGTTGAAGCTAAACTGTGCAGGGTGGTAGATCTCCAGGACCAGGATTGGGCACCCCTGCTGCAGAGGACGTGTTACCTTATTTTCTCAACAAAACACGCCATTTGACCAGGGGCAGCCAAACCTTTGTATATGACTGTATATAGTATTAAAAATCTGTTTGTTCTCTCATAGGATGAGGGGGTGGGGCTAGGGAAACGTTCTAGGGGCCAATTAAATGTCCTCACAAGCGAACTTTGCCACTCAGGCCACACTTTGGCAGCCCTGTTTTAAACAATGTCATTTCTGACGTCCTCACGGCATTCCAAGGACATTAATGATATGATAGTAAATGTTTACAGAACTTTTTATCCATACCTAGATATTTGGATTTTCCCCCTGAAATCCTACTTTAGGGACTCACTTTAAGATGATTTTAAAGTCACTTTCTGACCAAATAACCACTTTTAGTTGAATGAAAATGAATGGTAATTTGCCTAGTGGTTACTGGGGGAAGTTATATGAAGGATCTTGCAGTGTAGTGCAACAAGAAGAGATGTTAATGAAGGAAGCATTTGGTTGATTCAAAAAGAATGAACCAGACCTAATGAAATGAAGGTTGAAAAGATGTTTCAGTAAAAATCACACTCAATCTTCACTGACTTAAGGAGGAAAGGTGAGGTCAATTAATCATTCATAGATTTTACCTTTTGAAGGGCCTTTTAGAACTTAAGCAAGGCGAATAGCTGCTGGTATTAGTCACCTATTACTAAGAAGTGATTTTAGATTTATGCTGGTTTTAATAGGAGAAAAGCCTGTTGACAAAACCCAAGCTGGGATTTTATCTTTTAACCCTGTAAAGCAGGGGTGTCCAGTCTTATTCGTAGAGAGCCACTGTGACTGCAGGTTTTCATTACAAAGAAGCTGGAGTACACCAGATTCTACTTGTTTAATCAGTTAGTCTCTGTTTTAAACAACTGACAATATTCTCCTGCTTTGCTAGTATGAAAACCTGCGGCCACACCGGTCCTTTGCGGATAAGACTGGACACCCCTGCTGTAAAGTCAGAGGTTCCCAAACTGGTCCTGAGGGCCCCCTGGATATATGAATACATGGATCTTAGAAACTGGGATTAAGGAAAAATATGCACCGTCTGGGAGTTCTCGATGACCATTCTGAGAACCACTGGTCTAAGTTACTCAAAATGTTTTATATTTTGCCATTCATTTGTAGTAGTCACCAATTCATTGATAGCAGTCACTTAATAATTAACCTTATGGTTAACTGAACAATAAGCCTAAGAGTTCATAGGGTTCCCATGACAGGTTTTGTATATCTTCGTTGCCAAAAGATTTAAAAAGGTAGAATACATGAACACTCACCCATTCAGATTAGTCTGAGAAGCAGCTGCACTGACGTTGATGTTTTCATCGTTCCAGCGGTTATATTGTACACTCGCTTCACCGGATTCCATCTCCTACACGCCTTTAGTGTCTATATAGTGACAACTGTGAAGGAAATATGCCAATAATACCTATGCAATGTAGAAACTACAACACTGCATGCTTACATTCATAGACTAGTGTTCACAGCAGCACACTGTGACTGTTGTTTGTTAAGTAGAGCTATTGAGCAAGTCAAGGCAGCTTGTTGGCTGAAGTCCAATTCAGCATGTCAGGTCACGACTTCACACTTTCCTTGACTGTTTCATATACGTTTAGTTTACTTCTTAAGAATTTTTTTCTTTTTACAAGTACTCCAAACATACTAAGACCGATTAACCTCAATGCAATCCTCAACTCTACCAACTTCTGAAAACTCCACAATCATTACTACAATGCACAAAAAAACAATCCTTATTGATTTATTGATTCTATAGTTTGCACAGCCATCTCTTACAAGTTATTCAAATCTTTATCTCAGTCATACTTACATGAATTCCTTTCGCACCGAGTGGAGGATTTACTCCTCTTTCACTCTCTTATTTTATGCCATTGCTTAAGAGCAGCAGGTCTATGAGTTCTCTGAGCTGAACTTTTACTCATTGCCTGTCATAAAGCACCTAATGACCCGGTGATTTCCACTGCTTGCAGATAATCAGGCCAAGATCCATGACTGTGCTAAAACAGAGATATTTAAATAGTGACATTTGGCCCTGCTGCTCATTACTGGTCCTTGAGAATAAGTAGATTCTACTAAGAGATCTTTGTTTAAGCACTTTTATAACCATCTTAGGGATAGAAATAGACAGAATGGCCTAAACCTACTGAACTCAGGTAAAAGTGTAACTTCAGATAAATAAATGTTAAGAAAGGTAGGTCTGAAGTACTCAGTTGCCATAGAACTACAGTGGCACTTCCAGCATCTACAGCACTCTGGAAAAGTCAAAGGCTACCTTTGATTTATTTAATTTTCAGTCAAAATGGCCATTGAGGACAAGTTATTTATTTTGGGTCTGAAAGGATGAGTATCTGTCAAGAAGCCGTTACTGAGAAATTAAAACAGACAAAAAAAGAAGAAAATGTGCAAATCAATCAAAGAAGCTGCTGGTGTTCTCAGAACAATGGACCATCCCAGAGTCCAGACCTCAACATTATAGAATGTGTTAGGGATTACTTGGATTGTGAGAAGCAGAAAATGTAACCAACTTCTAAGACTGAACTTTGGAGGTGTGGAAAAATATCCCTGCAGATTTCTTTGAAAAACTGAGAGCAAGTCTCCTGTAAAGAATGGAAGCTGTAATAAAGGCTCTGTTTAATTTTCTCTTAAATTTGTTTTCTGCTTATTTACCTGATGCTGAAAAATAAATAAGAATAACAGGTAAAGGGCCGTTTTGACTGGAAATTAAATCAGTGAAAAGGTAGGCCTACTGTGCGATCAGAGAAAGGTGGTCTCTTTGCACAGCAGGCCTACTGGATCAGCACAGGAACTGAAGGTTTTTTTTCGGGGTCTGTCCTTCTTTCTTTTGGATACCTTCAGTCTAAAATAAAATGTTAGCAAACAGTCCAGGGGCGTCACCAGAAAAGAATGAAATCAAAAGTAAAAAAAAAAAAGACATTAGGAACTATAAATGTGAGTGACTAAAGCAGAATTCTCAATAATATACTGGAGTTGAAGTAAAATGTATTATCATTACAAGATATTCATACAAAGCACAAATCCATCAAAATCGTAAGTAAGTAAAGGGCCATTCCCGCCTAAAACCATCAATCATGTTTTGTGTTCTCTCAATATAATACACAGCATGCAAATACAACACACAATCACTGGGAATCCACCCACAGTGATAAAGAAATCCTCTAATGTAGAGGCTGATAAATGCAAATCTGATATTTGGCTAGGTTAAATTCTTCTTCCTTCTGCCAGCCAGCCAGCAAGAAAAAACAGCTTGCCTAGCCTTATGTATTAACCCCAAGGCAGTTGTGGTTTTTTCCAAGTTCTTCCCAGATGTAGCACTGGTTACATTTTTCATTTTAGTCAGAGTATCCCTTTAAGTAAATGAACTTTTGCTTAAGGGTAAATGTATCCAACTATCTCTGATAAATACTTCTGTAAACAAGTTAGTAATGCAGAATGTTTCCTTAACTGGTGCTATTTTTAATTTTGCTTTTTCAGAAATATAAAGCAACAACGACGTTGAGAACATGAGCTACTCTCTATAGCGGTCTGTAAGCAGGACAAGTAAGTAGTACATAGTCACAACACAATGTTATTGCTGTTGCTGCTGATTTCCTCCAGTCCTATAGGGGGCAGTGGGGCTGTTGATTTCACTTAGGAAACGAGAAGAAAAGCTTCGCATGTCAACACAGTTGTAAACATTAATTGTCAGTAAACGTTCAGCGCGGTCTCTGTGTGAAATCATCGCTCCGTTCAGATGTTTTCGCTGGATTTTATTGTATTGAATCAAAGCCGACTCCCGTAAAGAGACGGCGTGTTTATTCCTGACTGAGAGGACTGAAGAGCGGGAAACGATAAGCTAAGCTGGTTAGGTTAGCTAGGTTAGCAAATAAGCGGCGTTCCAGTAGCAGCAGCCACATTGTGCATCATCGGCTGATTTATTTAATATATTTCTCTATGAAAAATCCGAACTGAACTGGTGACTCGGCTTTATCTTGTAGTCACAGCTTATAAAAGGGAGTGTAACCATGCATTTTAGCTGACAATCAGTGTCTTACTTAAAAAAAGTTCTAGGCTTTGTATTCCCTATTTTTTGTAATTTAGTGCAACGATGACAACTCTTACAAGACAGGACCTTAATTTTGGTCAAGGTAAAACGTTGATCTGTACATTGTTTGTTCTTAATAATGTTATGAAAAAGATCTATATACTTAAGAATCGGTCACCAGTCTTACCCACAAAGGTCCAATGTGGCTGCAGGTTTTCATTCCAGCCGAGCATGAGGATACCTCCTACGACTAACCACCTGTTTGAAGACTCAGCCCAACTGATTAAATAAGGGGAATCAGCTTTGCTTCTGCTTGGTTTAAGTGAATACTGGCCCTTTGTGAATAAGACTGGTGACCTCTAGACTTACTATATGCTACAAGTTACTGCACAGTTATCATAAATTACTACAATACAATAAGAATAATACATGGATAAGTAAATATTGTAGATTGTAGATAGAAGTACTATAAGGTGTTTTGGAATTCTTATAGTTCTCAAATAGACCTTTTCTGTAAATATATCGTCACGTCGTCTGATATTGTATTGCTTTTTTTTTTTCAGTGGTGGCTGATATTCTCTGTGAGTTTCTGGAAGTAGCCATCCACCTGATCCTCTACGTTAGAGAGGTTTATCCATCTGGGATCTTTCAAAAGAGGAAAAAATACAATGTTCCTGTGCAGGTAAGCGTGACCCCACTGACCCTAATGAGATTTGATTTCCTAGTGAACCCTCTTTAAATGAGGAATATTTATTTGATTTTCAGATGTCATGTCACCCCGAGCTGAACCAGTATATCCAGGACACACTCCAATGTGTTAAACCCCTTATTGAGAAGGTGAGACCTACAGAAAAGACGCAGTGACTGAGAAGGTGTCCATCTCAATCACAGGGCCATCATAAGCTCATCCACATCAGATGAAATAAAGCTTTGTGTATTGTGATATGCTTACCAATGTTGTTTCATGTCGAGGCATCAAATAATGTATGGTATAATACTGATGATAAAGTAGCATTTTATTGGCTTTGAATATTTGAATAGTATTAATGATTTGGGATGCAAGAATCAGAGATCGTTAGAGATTAGAATCAGCAATTTTTTGATCCAAAATCTACAGTTGGCCGATTTATTATTGTTATTTTGGCCAATCTGTGTTGCATTTTTATGATGCAAATAATGTGAGGAAGGCAAGTGCACTTGCACTGTATTTCAATGTTGCCAGTTCACTTGTACCACAGTGTCCTAGCATGACTCAATGAGTGTAGCATGTTTTTTGAATCATGTTACGCAGGTATTTGATTAAAGCCGTTTAAAGATTAAATAATAAATTAAAGATTAAATATGTTATTTATACTGTGCAATTTATACTGTTTTCGTAACAGAAAGTACTGGAAATGTGCTGGTAGGTTTCGTGTGTTCATTTAGCCCACAGCGTGAGCTTCAGGTTAAGAAATCAGCCAAAATATTGCCCATCGGCTGTAAAGACATCACAATCGTCGTTTTAATAAAAAAAAAAACTCTATATATCCCTACACTAGTGATGGGCTGTTTGATATCGAGGCATTAAAGCTCATTTCACTATGGCAAGGCATGCTGTTTCAAAGCAGTGTTGATGCTTGTGTCAAATTACCTTTACCACGTCAATATGACATCCGAAACGTCGGATGTCACTGAAACAGTAGAAGGGCTTTGACAGTTTCAGAAGTTTTGGCACAGTTCCATACATCTCAAGCTTTTAGAGAGGTGTGAATCCACCAATTATGTATTTGATACACATATAACATTTTACTGAAGCACATTTACACCCATCAAACAAAGAAATGAAGAAGTTAAAAAAACATTCATACATATAATATCGTAATTTTATAGCACTTCAATAAGTGAACATGATTATCAGAACAAAATGAACACACACAGTGTTCTAATGCATGTTAGATTGCTTCCTCTGCGGTCTTCAGATTGACTGCTTTCATTTCTGCAAACCACCAACTGTAACTGTACTGCGTTTTCAAAGCTGCAAGGCTTTCTGAATTGTTTTCAATCACAGTTAAGAAGAAACCTCAAGAGCAAGCGCTCTCTTGTTATGCACAGTTCTAAATTTAATTATGCATCTCTGATATTGATTCATTGTCATATTTGTATACTCTAACTAGTTCCTTGATGGTGTGAATTATATGTTGTGATATACAGTTCAGCTTTCTGTTGTGGTGTAATCATGCATAATATTTAACACCTGTGCTTTTTATGCAGAATGAGGCAGAGAAAGTTGTAGTGGTAATCATGGATAAAGAGCATCACCCGGTGGAGAGATTTGTGTTTGAGATCTCGCAGCCTCCTCTCCTTTCAATCAGGTGAACTCAATAAGCAGTTTCTTGTTATCTTACTTAATCAACTTCTTAGGAACTTGCACTTTAATGAAAAAGAACACAAATAACTACCCTACTTCACCACATCCAATAATATTTACCATCTGCACTCACTCAAGGCTAGTCATGTGGTGGTCATAGAACCACCTCTGATGGTGTTTTTTGGTCTGTCTTCAGTGCATGATCTCTTATCTTTATATCCACTCTTGCAGCTCTGAGACTCTGCTTTCTCACGTAGAGCAACTGCTGCGAGCTGTAATCCTGAAGATCAGCGTGTGTGATGCTGTTCTGGATAACAACCCACCAGGTAAGATAGAAGCCTAATAGCCAATAACTAATCTAGCTGAAGCTGTCGACTAATTTAACTGAAGTTTTAGTAAGTTACAGATCACATTCCTTTAAAATTTAGTAAACTTCAGCTGGATTAGCTGTTACACTAATTAGATGGCTAATGACTTATAAACTACAGACAAACCAGCAGTTTCAAGGTGTTTTGCCTCTTTTCTTTAAACATTAGACTGAAGGTTTTTCTATAATGAAAGGCTCTTATTTGAGGCCGTGTCAAACCTGACAGGGTTTTGGGGGTTTTTACCTTTGTACAATGCAGTTAATAATGAGACTAAACTAAAATTCTCTGCTTGAGACTCACACTCCCAAGGACTCGAGACTCAGCTTGGACTCACATGAAGTGACTCATGAATATCTCTACACTATTGATTGGTTGATTGTAACTGTTGGTTTCCTGTCTCTCCTTTACAGGGTGCACGTTTACTGTGTTAGTTTACACCAGAGAATCTGCCACTAGAAACATGGAGAAAGTTCAGGTGATCAAGGTGGGGGCAAATATCCATCTCCCTTATTCTAATTCAGTTATTTCACCTCCTTTATTTTAGCATTGCTCAGTTACAGTAATGATACATTTTGTTTCAGCATTACTTACAGTAATGGCACAACTGTATAACTGTATTCTCTTACATTTTCTGCTATTTAACTCTTGTTAAAACCTTTTAACGTGATGTTTTGATCGTGTTTTATGTCTAATTTACTGCAACATCTACAAGTACACCTGAAATTAGTCACTAATTCCCAAACTGCAGGGACAACCCACACAAACACTGCAATGTTGCGGAGTTTACAGTTGCAGCCATGTGCAAACATTTTACAGAAACAGCCTCCACCTTTCTTGTAATGTGTGTAATTGCTTTAGTACTGAACTGAGTCTTATTCATTCTCATTTTTAATTTGAAATTTGTCATGAGATGTGATATTAAAAAGCGTTGTGTGCAGGACTTTCCCTGGATTGTAGCAGATGAGCAGGAGGTCCTCATGCAAGAGCCCAGACTCATCCCTCTGAAAACAATGACCTCAGACATTGTAAAGGTGACACTGCATTTTCACATTGATGGTGTTTGTGTAGTACAATTTTCTACGTAATGTTAAAGGAAAGGAATAAAACAACCCCTTCATCTTTAGCCACTTATTAAAGTTTTATTAAAGCAGCTATAAACATTCAGACTCTCATAGTCCTTACATCACATGATGCAATGTCCTGCTTTCAACAGATGCAGCTATACGTTGAGGAACGTGCACATAAAGGACCCCAAAACACAGCGTGAAAGGACTGTGCCTGCTGAAAACATATTTAGGCAGATAAGCTTTGTCAATACTTTTTTGGTCATTTATTCTGTAAAAAAGAAATAAATATAATCTTAAGCAAAATACATTTTAGTCATTTTTTTAAAATAAGCAACGGAAGAGCAAAAGGTACATCTGGAGCGTTATTTGTTAGATCATTTTGAAAAAACACTTCCTCTTTGTTGTCACATTTTCCGTTTCCTTCAGAGTAAAGACGTTGTGCGACTGACTACAGGTGTTCATACTTTGGAATTACCACTATGGTGGTAAGTAAATAAAATAAACGTTCTTTTAAGTGAAAGGTTGAGAGCAGACCATCAGTTTGTGCTTTGAGTTGTAAGATAAAATGTACCTGTGCTTCCAACATAAATCTTGTTTCTTTTTTGTTTTGGACCAGCTGGTCTTTAGTGCCAGCGTGGTGTTGCAGGAAGCAAGTTTCTGTGCATTTTTGTCAAAAGAGTATTTTCTGAAAATTGGAGATCATTTCACAGAGCTAATGAAGCACCAAATGCTCATGTTGCTGTGTGCAGAAGAACAAGCTGTTCCACCTCACAGGAAACATTTCACACACCCTGTTCAGTATGTGTTTCTCATGAATGTCTTATAAAAATTAATTTACCTTTTACATGGATGCAACATTTGGATTTTTTTAGACCACCACAGCAGCAACAAGAAGACATTCTGCTTTCTGAATATGATTTGCTTTTAATGCTGCTCATACTTATACTGCCCCATACTCACTGAATGAAATACCCACTAAAATATCTTCTTTACAGTTCTCAAGTGTGTGGGTGTGGGTGTGGGTGTGGGTGTAGGTGTATATGTATGTATACGTATGTGTATATATGTACAACCCTATTTCCAAAAAACGCTGTGCAGAATGTAAATAAATATAGAATACAATGATATGCAAATTATGTAAACCATATTTTTAAAGTACAATACTAAAAAGACAACATATCAAATGTGGAACCTGAAAAATTTTAGTGTTTTTTGAAAAATGTATGCCCATTTTGAATTTGATGCCAACAACACGTTCCAAAAAAGTTGGGACAGGGGCATGTTTACCACTGTGTTTCATCACCTCTTCTTTTAACAACACTCTGTAAGTGTTGGGGAACTGAAGAAACCAACTGCTGTAGTTTTGAAAGTGAAATGGTTTATACATTCTTGTTTGATACAGGATTTCAGCTGCTCAACAATTCGGGGTCTCCTTTGTCATAATGTGCCAAATGTTTTCAGTGGTTGATAGGTCTGGACTGCAGGCAGGCCAGTTGAGCACCCAGACTCTTTCAATATGGAGCCATGCAGTTGTAAAACATGCAGAATGTGATTTGGCATTGTCTTGCTGAAATAAGCAAGGCATTTCCTGAAAAAGACGTCGTCTGGATGGCAGCATATGTTGCCAAAATATGTATATTATTGTTCAGCATTGATGGTGCCTTCATAGATGTGCACTTCACCAATGCCATGTGCACTAATGCACCTCTATACCATCATGAATACTAGTTTTTGAACTGTGCACTGATAACAAGCTGAGTGGTCTTTAGCCCGGAGGACTAAAGACGCTGTGTCCATGATTTCCAAAAAGAAATTCAAATTTTGAGTCGTCGGACCACAGGACACATTTCCACTTTTCCCTCAGTCTATTTTAAATGGGCTCGGGCCCAGAGAAGGTGGCAGTATTTCTGGATCCTGTTTATATATGGTTTCTTCTTTACGTATGAGATTTTATTTTGCATTTGTGGATGCAGCGGCAAACTATTTCTGTGTTTCTGAGCCCATGCAGTGATTTCCTCTACAGAATTATGCCTGTTTTTAATGCAGTGCTGCCTTTTTGATGCATGGCCCAAAGATTACGGCCAGCAAATACTGGTTTTTGGCCTTGCCTCTCGCATACAGAGATTCCTCCAGATTGTCTGAATCTTTTAATGTTATTATGTACCGTAGATGATGAAAAGCTAAAGTTCTTTGCTATTTTATGTTGAGAAACGTTATTCTTGAATTTTGATCGTGCCATCTAATTAGTGTAACAGCTATTTGCCAGTCAACCACCAGGTGTTTTTTTTTTTAAGCATTACACAACTTCACCAGCCTTTTGTTTCCCCCGTCCCAGCTTTTTTGGAACATGTTGTCGGCATCAAATTCAAAATGGGCATATTTTTTCAAAGAACAATAAAATTTCTCAACATCTGATATTTTGTCTTTGTACTATTTTCATTGAAATATAGGGTTTAAATGATTTGTGCATAATTGCATTTTGTTTTTATTTACATTTTGCACAGCGTCCCAACTTTTTTGGAAAAGGGTTTGTATGTGACGTCTTAGGGAACAGCCTTGTTATGTGCCATGTTATGTGCCATGGGAACAAACCCCATGTCATCACTCCACCCCTACCAGTTAACAAAATGATGATTGTACAGATTTGTCTGTGTCCTACTCCTTCCATCAGAAAAAAATCAGAATTCTTCCAGTATCAATACTAATTTTTGGAGGTCCACAGGTCAGAGGCTGTGTTGTTTCGAAGAACTCAGTGACTTGTCAGATTTACTTCTCTTGTATCTGAATACAAGATATGTTGTTGTACGTACCTTCTTTGTGTTGTGTTGTCTTTGCCGTAGCCACCTTCCTTTTTGTATGTGTTCTCGATCCTGCTTTTTTGGTTGTCCTTGTTGGCTGTGAGCAAGTTACAAAGTTCTCTGCTGCTCAGTGTTTCTATGCCAGCTGAGCATGTCTGCAACAACTGTCAACTAAATTATGTCAATGTAACTTAATATAAGTTAAATCTACTTAAAATTTTTTCCTTGCTTAAACAAGACTATACTAAGTTAAATAATTGTAAGCACAGTGCATAAAACAATCAGTACAATTAATTAGCATTTCAGATCACTTTTACACAATTTATTTGAATTCATATTACTGATTCATAATTGAAGACATATGAAGCACGTACCTAAGAGGCTACTTAAGACAGTTGCTCATAACCACTTAACATCTAACATAACAGCTTAAAGTCACATTTAAAGTGTGAGTTTAAAGGAAGTTCAGAATTTAGTAAGAGCGTAAAATGTGTAAGTTGTGACTAGCTTATGTGGATGTTTTTAAGGCTTGTTCAAATAGACAGTTCACAGTTTTTTCAGCATATCTAATTAAAGCGAAAATGATAAAAGCCAAATTTTTATGTTTTAATTCTGATTCCAAACAAGATACTTGGACATGCAAGTTTGACCAGTCAAATCAGATTTAATGTGTTTTTTTGACGTTTTGACATCTCCTGTGGCGGTTCATGATGGCAAGAATAAAAAGCTGATGCTGCACATGAACTTTCTAGCTTAAATATGAAGAGCTGAAGCCTTTAACAGACATTTAGGCAGCATTTTGCAATGAGTATGTTGTAGTTTTATGGTGACTAAAGATTTGAAATTAAACCTGCCTTAATTATTACTGGTACAGCCCAGCTCTTGACCAGGTTATCTTTTCATGTTCTGTTCATGCGATGCTGTTGTGAAATATAGCATGAAAGTTCTGTTAGCTAGCTATAATTGTAATTGTAAAAGTAACGCTACACAATAACATTGAAGCTCATAAACATGACCATCCTTCCCCTCCTTGGTCAGCATACTCCTTGGGCATGTCCCCTAAAAACAAGAGTAAAAAGTTTGTCTCTTATAAGCAAATGTTATTATCCACTTTCCCACTCCTACTCTTCCCCACCTCCCTCTCCCCGAAGCCATGCAGTAACTGTGCTGAGCACAGTTACAGGTTGACTGTGTGGTGTGATGGTTCTAGTAAGCAGCGCAGATGAGGATTTCTTATTACTCAGGACCAACACATTACAGTTATTAGCAGCAGTCCTCATTTTGCTGCACTGAATCACAGATCACTCTTTATGTTGTTCTTGTTAGCTATCTGATATTTTTTTTTTTTTATCTAGCAAGCTAATGTTGCAGGTTGTCAATCAATGACCGTCCACTGTTTGAATGTGAGTAAGAGAAGCTCACTGTTGTGCCATTGGTAGGGCTATGTGTTGATATTAAAGCCAAGGTGCTATTAGTGTCTGTATGTGTGTCAGCTAATTAATGTTGTAGAATGATAGAAGATCTGATGAAAATAAGTGCTCAGCACCCCTAAAGCTCTGATTTTAGAATCACCCCTGGCATACTCACACATGATTTGTTACTACGGGAAAAAATGGAGCTACCCAAGCACACGTCACCACATCCTGACCATACAAATAACATGTTCATTTGTAACTTAAATTCTGAACTCTCACGTGTAAAAATCAGAGTAGGCATGTCACAATTATTACATAAAAGCCTAATCACAATGACTGGAGATGTCTGCAGTCATTTTCCACAGTTGTTAGATTTCACAGTCATATTATGCTGCAACAAACACACTATGAAATTGGGTGTTGGATAGCAAATAATTGTAAATAAAAAGCAGTAAGTGCATTCATTGAGACATTGTAGGACTTATGATGATAAAAAAAGGTTCTAAACTAAGTCTAACTTGGTGCTCTAACATGTTTAGAGGGCAGTGCTGAGTAGTGTCTGTTTATTAGCTGCATAGCCTGGTGTAGTTCTAATGATTTTAGCATGTTTGCTTGCTGGATGTTTTATTTATTTATTTTTTTGTCTTTTTTTATCTCTCAAAAACAAAAGTAAAAGAACTCAACTTGGTGTGTACAGACTATACAGGATGTGATGGAAGCAAGTATAGAGCAAGGTTTAAACCACAAACATATGTGTCCTGTAAAAAGAAAAACATGTGAAAGCAAGTGCTGCAGAGCAGAACTGACATAAATATGCTAGCAAGTACGTGACTGATGTTTAGACATGCCAGTAAACTAGAAACCAACAAAAACCTATTCTTTGATCTTATACCTATGATATACTGAAACCTATACTGTAACCTGAAGGTGCAACATGTGGAGTTCAGTTAGACTGTTTTTGTTCCATTAGATTTCCTTTGATCTTCTTTTGAAGCCTGGCTTTTGATGAAAGTGGAAGCACAATACTCAGGCCACATTTTTAACATTTGCATTTTAGCCATGTCAAACAGATTCAATTAAGTAACATAACAAATTATCCATTAAGATGGCGACTGACATGATGATTTCATCTCAGTTTAATTGCATTTGTCTGGTGAGGCACAGTAGAATTAGTTTTATTTTTGATATTCGTCTTTTCAGTGCTAGTAACTTTTGAATTGACTATACTGGTCGTTATGACCACAGAAAGTGATGCACACCTTGTCTTTTATG